CCGGTCCAGTCGAATTGGCCCTGGTAAAGAAGTACGGGCACGCCGCCCTGCAGCAAGCTTTCCACCTCGGCAACAAGCTGACATCGGCCTCTGAGGCAAGGAACCCCCTTGCGCCACTGAAAGCAACCAGATAGGTCAAACTGGGCCCTTGGTCTTGGTCCCCTTCTTGTAGCTTCATTGGAATTTGGCAATTGAAATGATCATCGCCTTCTCGTTACTTCGTGCTTGACGTCCACTTTTCCTTTTCCTCTCGGCATATTAAGCCCTAAGGACGCTGCAAACGCACGCAGCAAGGTCAACCTGTGACGTAGTGTCAATTGAAATGTGACTGATTCATGGCCATGCTTTTCTGAGGATGACGCGGGTTTCACCAGAACGTGGCGTCCTTTTTTTGTCAAAAGGGATAGCAAAGGCCAGAGCCCACTCCAATCACAGTGGCTTGCTGTCCTTACGCAAAAACATAGCTTGCAAGAAGACGAGTTCCACTGTGAAGCCCTCTAAAGAAATGACCTTTGGGAACGAGTCTAGTCTGGGCATTCAAAACGCATCAAGGGTAAACTGGTAGGCAACAAGGGCAGTTGCCAGAAGCATTCTTTCTAGAACGGACCTGCCATGCATTCCCGCATGTTGCAAGGGTGCCACTAGTCAACGCAGAGAGTCCTTGCCACTGATATCCACTGATCATCGATGGGCAGCTTGGTCACCGAAGCAAAAAGAGCTCTCCTAGGATTAAACCTTGAGGGCAGGAGCGAGCAAAGCCAACTCCTTCAGACGGATTACAAACGAAGAAGCAGCCGAACAGTGAACCACGCAATGTGCAAATATTCCGCTACGATGTTACCACACACGCACCCGCAAGCGCGCATACAGTATGCAAATGATCCATTATCATGGAGCGAGCCCAACACTTCAAAGGTGTCGGCTAGCCATCGGTCCTGAGTGCACTTTGTCCGAATCTGTAAGAAAGTCACGAAAAAACGCTCACTGCTTTCTGCGGCCAAAGCTGCATGAGGCTTCTGAGACTTCATGATGTCTGCCTTCAGGCTCTCCTTCACCTGCAGACTCGCACTATGTTTCTCCAAATTCAGGCCGGTGGGCGCTCGGTGCCCTTTGTGCCGGAATTCATGGCCATGTCCTTCAGCAAACATCTCTGTCCCCAGACCTCATGGCAGCACTCAAAGCACTACGTCCATTTGCGGCACTTGCAAGTATAGGACTGTAGATAAACCGAAACAAATCTATCGGGGCTGCATGCGCCTGTGTTGGACGGCTTGCTTGCTTTCCGGGCCAACAGCGGACCACAGTCCAGAAGCTGAAATAACTTAGCGCTTGCGTTGGCACCATTCACGTCGGGCAACTGGCCCCACCCGCCTCCGGTGCAGTGCCAAAGCTCAGCTGGCGAGGGATGTGGAGCCAGTCCTTGCGCCCCAGGAAAGCTTCCCGTTGGTTCAAAGCCTGGCAGATTTGGGGCGTTCCTCTCAAGAGTGCAGCCCAACTATCCTCACCCACCAACCCTGAACCATTCTCACAACCAGCCCCCCCTCCAAAAACAACATGGCGCGGAAGGTCTCCCAGTAAGTCAGCAGGTCGTTTCTACCAATGGATGTGGCAGCACGCTCAGCCTTGCGTGAGTACACACATTGTGCGCGCTTGACGTGAGCGATGCTATGAGCGCTTTTGCATCATGAGATCATGAAGGGCTGCGCAGGCCATGCAAAACTGTCATGAGTCGTCTTTGCCACTTAAACCGTCGCTGTGACCGGCATACTCACTCCCAGCCCCCCCCCCATCCAGCCCACTACCCCTGCCCAACCTCCTCCGTGCGGACTCTTGCAAGAAATTGATGCCAGGCGAATGGGTTCCAAAAACAAGCCGCAAGCCCTCTCGCAAGCAGCTACCAACGCAGTTCTCGAATTTGGCTGAAGCCAATCCAAGCAGGACCCTCAACTCAGAACCCTCGCCTGAATCGACCAAGTCAACCCTCGGATACCCTCGGCCTGACCTACACAAAAACTCTCCTAAACCAACAGTAAACCGATTCGACCATAACTCTGAACCAAACCTAAACCAACCTCAGCTAACGCAAAGGTAATCTTTACACCCCCAAACCAACCCAACACTGTACTTCAGGATGGCTACTCACACCAGCCCCCGCTGACGGTCCCCTCCTTGGTGCTGTTGAGGTTAAAGAACTTCTGCATACGCTCCTCGAGGAGCAAACGCAAGTACATCAATGGAATGTGGCAGCCCCCAGCAACCATGGGAAATCTTCAGGTTGACCATGCTTTGTGGCAACCCGCAAAACAGAAAGGGACTCAATCCTCACGAGGAGGTATGGTTCATTCAGAACTCTTGCAAGTGAGGAAAAGGGGCAAAGCCTTGATGACGTGCGGTGACCTACTTTTAAAAACTGAGGGACTCGTGACTCCACCCCGTACACCCTCGTTTCAGTTTCCATCTTCTAGCTCGCCCCAGACCTCTTGCCCTAACAAGGTGGCAGGGCGTGCTCCTAAGGAGAAGATGTCCTTTCTCCTCTCAGAAATCGCCGGCCAAATTTAGATCTGTTAGACCGTTTAGCAAACCAACGTGTATGCCCATAGTCGCAAACTCTTTTTGTTTGATAAGTGCGATCATGCAAGCGTGTGGGTACAGCTGAACTCTGTCAGATGAAGCGTTGTCCTCACTGCGGGCCCTACTGTGACCCTCCATATCCATATCCATATCCAAAAGGGATGCCTAGGCCATATACGTTTGCATGTAAAGAATGCGGGTCATGTGAAGCAATGTGCGGGGTGGTGAGGTCACGAAACACGAACAAAGGGCATTGGATTGCCACGAAAGCAGGGGGACAAGACCCTAAAGGCAAAGAATGCAATCATTCCCTGTGCGAGCTCATTTCTCAGGGAACCCCACCAACAGGAAATTCATTTGATCTTCGCCCGGAAGGCGATGTTGAACACCAGCACAAATGAAAACTCAAAGGCAAACAAGAGTCTGGGTTAGGGAGGCCCTGACAAACGCATGTTGTCTGTTTCGATGGGAACCTTCCCCGTGCGCATCTTTTGGTAAAGAATCCTCGCTGAGTTCTTCCAGTCCCTCAACTAAGTGCTGCATTCCCCTTGCCTGAGAAACACTGTACACAACTTTGCCCGTCTGATTCCCAAGGGCACAAGGGTATCAATCAAAACTACCCCCATGATGGGACGTTTCATTGGGAGAAATGCCCACACCTTTGACCCTTGAAGCTGTAATTTCCACGCCCGACCCTGGCTCGGCTCGGCCAAATGGTGAAACGACTGGTTGTGTTATCAGATGCATTTGAGGATTCTCTGTTTCCAACAGTCATGAAAGGAAAAATGCCGGGATGGTGTTGGAATACTGCAATGATTGTCCTGGAAATGCCCACCTTCGTGGATCCTTTTTATAAACACCTGCAGGCTCAGAGAACAACACCCCCAACAACATATTGGGCTTCACGGTCTGCGCCCAGAAAGGCATCTGCAACCCAAGAAGTTCGCTCCTCTTGCCATGTGTAAGATGTTGTGAGCCGCACATCCTGCAAAAGTCCCACGTGGACTCCCAGGTTTCGGTCATGGCAAGTGGCCGCAAAGGTGTTCCAAAGCAAATGTTTTTTTAAAATAAATCTGAACCACACATAATTCCAGAACCTTAAATAAGAGATTCTCAAGTAAGGATGCTATTCGTGAGCTCGGCTTCGCTCCAAATGAGATTGCCAACCTCAAGCAGGACTGTAGAAACCCAGAAATGGGCCAGTCATGGCGACCGAACGAGAGTCAACCGAAACACACAAAAATATCTAAATGTGGACAGTGGCCCTAGGGCTGCAGCCAGACACCTGTGCGAAGATGCGGAGGCACGTTTGATTCCCTAACATTGCAAGAGAGGAGAAAGCAACCCCTGTATTCTGGTTTCTGGTTTGTGGTTTGCCATTAGCTTGTGAAAACTGTGGAAGCAGCCAACCCACCTTCTGACAAAGCCGACCATCTATCCACAACCCATACCCCGGGATACAAGTACCTTGAGTCCCAACAAACAAGATGCATTTTGAGCTGCAAAGTGAACTTTGGGATTCCTGGCACCTTCCCTGCGGCGGGTTTGCAGGACACGGGCCGAAGCAACCCAAGCAATTGCCAGAGTGGGTACTTTGTGCATGACGCGTCGCTTGTTGAGATCGAAGTGTGTTGACCTTTCAACATGAATCAAGACGGTTATCATTCAAGTGGCTCCAGGGGTGTCCTATTGGCTCCGAAGTATATACAACTTTATGCCCCACATGTATATAATTGGCAAATCATGGTGTCCCTAAACAGAGTGCGGCAATGGATTGCGCTACAACCTCGGAGGTACAGTCTCGGTACTGCCTTGATACTCAAGACACCTCTGCTCCAAGGCTGCGACATAGGGGTTGATGTGGGAGACGCTTTTCCTCTGCGCAGGCTCACACACAGTCATACACTCCAACAAACACGTCCACCACGATAAAATCATCTATCACAATTGCTCCGCATAATGACCGACAGTGGAGAAAACAGGTGCAGTTGGAAAGCCCTTCTTCACAATGAGATGGCTGCAAATATCACAAAAGCCATCCAAAGGGCGCCTTGGGAAATAAATCGCTCAAAATACGGATGCATTTGTTCGCTGCTGTTTTCACAGCAGGGTGTGAGGTTGACAACATTGCACAAGTCAAGACCGGGCAAATCCCAAGCAGCAGAACATTTGTCGCATCTCTCTCGCTCTCTGCATTTGCTTGCCTGCCGCTATTCAGGGCAAATGGCGGACATGTCGGGAAACACCACCCATCACGCGTCCCAGACTTGGGGGCAGCGTCAAACCCACAATTCGTTTTATTACGCAATTATATCAGCAAACCAAATGACCAATTACTGACTTGCTCCGCCAGCCGCCAACTTGAATTAACAAAAGCAACATCTTTAAGGGACCTTCAATCCGCCCCAAGATCGCCACACGCCAAGAATCTATGCCTCCGGCAAATTCCTTGCGCCAAGTGGCACCAAGTCTTCCATGGCACTCCGCTTGTCCTGGCGCCCAGCTCTCAAAGCTTATTGTGGGCACCTTAAACCATGGGTGTTGGGCGGCTTATTCTTTGTTTTGAAAGGTTTCTGGGCTGTTGGGGGAACGACTTCCATTTTTCCGCCAGGCCTTGTGAATCAGACGTCGAGCAGTAGTGGTTTCAAAAGGGACAGCCAGGTTCACCAGAGCGCCCAGTTCAGTGCGGCCCCAAACGATCCCGAACCAAGTCGGGGCTCTGAAACTGATTGAGACCAAACCGGGTGGTCAAACTGATCCCTCTCGAAGTTGTCCTTTCTCCGAACATTCACTGGTGGAACCATAAGGACCCAAGCAATCCATCCGAAAAAACAACACAAAAAAGCCTCGACCCTGACAGGAGGCCCCCAAAAAAGAAGACGTGTGTGTGTGTGTTGTTTCCTGCTAGGTTGTATCAGCTTGGGGGAAGGAGTGCAACAGCTCCCACCGAACCCTGCTGCTGGAGAAAGGTAATGGCACTGATGCATTTATAGATCCAGGCCTTGCGGCATGATCATGTCGTCAATGCTGCGCTTGGTCTGATTTGACAGCTTGTCATGAGAGTGACGGGGATGGCACATTTGCGGGTATTCATGGCTGCTACGCTGCAGCCCTAGCGGGGGTTGTGTATCAACCATTGGCAGGGGAATGCGATCCCTGCAATACCTGTGCCAGCATTTGTGAATAGAACATGATAAATGCAAAATGTCTTCCGCGTGCATTCCAACAGGCTGTGCCGTTGCCTTGCATTCGGGATGCTGGTTTTCTGCAAGTGGGTGGCAAGCAGGCGATCTGGAATATGCAAATGGGCTTCTCGGATCTTGCAATTTCTGCTATGCACGCGTTTCATTTGACCGCCACAAATGTTCGTAGGGCTCAGGAGGAGCTTCCCCGCTCAAAACCTCCGAGGTTTTCCCTGAACCATGGCTGCACCATGGCTGCACCATGGCTGCACCATGGCCCCAAGGTTTCTGCGGGGTTTGCTCCGTTCCTGGCCGGCACCACCTCTCACTGGATCGGTCCGCGGCATCAGCGTAGCGCTGGGCGAGCGCCAAGTCGTGGGCCTCCTGCGCCAGGGCCTGGGCCTGCGAGAGTCGAGGGACCGATGTCTCCGGAGGCTTTGGCCTCAGATGATGCTTTGTGCGAATTGGTTTCATGGCCCATGTTCATTTCATGGAAAACCAAGAAGCTTGCTACCCCCCGTGAGGCATGGATAAGCATGCGGCTTAAAAACTATGCTTGGATGGAAATGAAAAAGCCAGGACATGTTGAAGCCCTCGTATAGAATCCCCCGCCCCAAGCCCAGTGTGGGTGCCGTCTGGCCGTTCGCCTGGCCTGTGCCAGCTGCTTCTCATCCACCAGGCCGAAGGCAAAGGCCTGCTGCGGCTTCGTCAGCACCTGCGGCTCGCGCCCTTCTTGGGGTTCACCATTGTTGTTTCTTGGGGGGGACTCGGCAAACACAGGCATCTCAAGGTTGCAATCGACTGTGGGGTCCTTTTCAATCTTGTGAGCTTTTTAGCTCTAAAGAAGCTACGTGGCTTTCGCCTCAAAACAATTCCAACTCACAAGGTGGTGCTCGAGCTCAGGATCGACCAGCCACTGGACCGAGCCGCTGCATTCCAAATGAGGATTGCCCTAAAGGAGGCTTAACAAGCTTGCAAAATACATCAAAAGACCAACAGATTCCCATTTGTGTGTTCTTCCTCTTGCTCGTTTTTTCAAGTGTCTGGGAGCATGGCCGCCAAGTGCTCGTTCGTCCCCCCCCCGCCCGAAATCCAGCCAAACAATAAGAAGGTAGCTCATTTGGCTTTGGTCGCCTCCACATCTACGCTCACACGCCGCGCACAGAGCACCGCGCCTGCGTGGCCGGGTCTGTGAGGCCGTCGCCGATGGCCACCGCGTGCAACGGCAGGGGGCCTCCAACAGCGGAGGTCAGCAAACCTTGAGAGCCAAGCAGGCAAGAAGTTAAACAGGTGCGCCAATCAAAGGGATGGGTGGCCTACAAAACCAACACAAATCCTCCCCCGTGTCCAACTTCACGACTTCATGTAACTTCTTTAGGGGTCTTTAGAGGGAACTTGCACCAGCCACGCACTCGACCCGTCCAAGTTGCACCGGCCTTTTTCAACTTGAGGCTTCGCTCGAACAAAAAGAGCCTGTGCGTGGCAAAATGGAAGCCCTGGGGTCCCACATCCGAGAGGCTTCAATGCTTAATGGCGCGGCAGCGAGTGCCCTTGCGGCAGGAGAAAACGCAAACGCACATACACAAACGGGCACACCCTAAACCCCAAACAATGTTCAGCTGCAGTATAAATTGCAGTATATAATGGATGCATATGGATGTTGTTACTGAGTTCTGACTCGGCTCATTGCCACAGGTGTTCAGCTTGTCTCACAGGGCCGTCTCTCGCTCCGCTGCGGTCATTGTACTAAGACATTGACCGCGAAATTCGAGCCGCATCCTGCATGTCCTGCCAGAGCTTTTTCGCGGGGCTTGCCTTGAATAGCTATCACTCGCTACCTGGGGACCGTTTGTTGAACAAAGCATGAGCAAGAGATCCAGCAAGCCCTGGAAATACTTGGCTTTAGTAAGCTTAAGTTTATAGATGTAGGTATGTTTTCTTTTGGGCTGTTCACTCAACTCGCTAGCTGAGTGCGACTGCAGGGCTCCCGAACACTCGTACATGCTGGCCGTCTGGCCGTCTCTGTGAGTGCATCTCCCAGCAGAGACAGATTGACCTAGGGCCTCCCACTTCGGGGAAGCCCGCGGGAGCTTCCTTAAAGCGCTCATCTTTTGCGTATTCCCTGGCCGATTCCCTGAACCTTCCAAAATTCACGGAAAAAAAACCCGATGTGTTTGACCTGCGGTTGGGGATGAATGCTGGCTCAAAATGCGCCCATTGATCATTCAGGCCCATGGGTCACATGGACCTCACGGTCCAGGGCTCAGCGCGCAACGATCTCTGGATGGTGGCTTTGCCTTTTGGGGAAGGAGGTTCCGGTCATGCCCATGTCCATCCTCAGGTTGGCATTGCCAACATTACCCATCCTCAGTCCCATGCCGGCCATGGACTGGCCCATGGATTGGCCACCCATGGTTTGGCCCATAAAGGGCATGGATTGGCCCATCATGAGGCCCGGGCCGTTCGGGAGCACCGAAGTTCCCGGTCCGCCCATGCCAAATGGATGGCTCAGAAGTGGATTCGATTCCATCGCGTTTCCCTTACACAGGCGTTCCAGGCGTTCGAGGCCCACAGGCCCTTGCACCTCGCGGCGGCACATGTGACAGAAAGGGGGTGCAGAATAATGAGGTGTGGTTTATTCCCTGGTTACTGTGTAGACGCCAGAACGCATCACGGGGAAAGCCGCTCGCATGAGTAAATGGTCAGAAGGCGCAAGCTCGAAAGAAACACACTGCTCCACAACCAGGAGCACATGCTTGTTTCCTATACAAGTGCAACGCAAGGACTAGCAAAACTGGGTGCTGCTTTCTTGCAGGGCATCAGTCGCAACTCTGCTTGGAACCCCAAAGAGGGTGCCGCTCCTCCTGATAAGGCGGCCACGTTGGATGTATCTTCAGTAAGCAGAAATGAGCAAGCTCTAGCAATCGTCCAGAATGACGACAAGAATCCGTGGGATAAAACCTTCCAAAAAAGAAGAAAGTACATGCATAAATGGAAAGAAACATTCCGAAGAAACATCATGCGAGAACCGTCCTAGACTGACTGAGGTCAACCGAGAAGGCTGGAAGCAACAAACAACCACGTAGCCCGCCATCTCGCGTAAGCCGGACTGCTTCGTGCACGCTTTGCCGCCGGCCAACAAAACGGCAACAACAGTGGCAGCAAAACAGCTACCCGCCCAGCCGACAAGCATACATATATGCAAACATACGGTAAACTACACACACATGAATCGATGCAGGAATGCAGCGACCAACCCTCACCTGGCCGACATAACCTTGTGCGCGCCTCGCGGGGATGCCCCTGCATCTCCTCACGGAAGTCCAAGGACCCGCAACCCGACGCCTTGGGCGGGGGCGCTGTGACCCGGGGTGCTCGGAGGTCCCAGCGCGGCTCCTCCTGGCGCGCCTCGGCCTGGAACGGAACGGAAATCTTGAGGTTTGAGGGTATAGGGCAATATCGGCGCATGTGTGCTTGTGTGCGCGCTTTTGATGAGAAACTCGGATTCCTTTGGGGGGCTCAAGAGTCGTCATAAAAGACAGGGATGCTCAACTCTCGCTAGACACAGGTTGGATTCGCAGGCGGGCGTGGTTTGAAAACAAACCCCGCTCACAAACATCAAGTGCTGTCAAAAGAGCTGAAAGTGTCTTGATGCTTGAGGTCTTCTTGGGATTCTCCACCTGGTGTGTGTGTGTGTGTGTGTCGACTCTTTGTGGTTTTCCTCTGTCGATGGGCACGGCACGCTGGTCCCTTGCCTCAGGCGAGGCCGGCTCATCCTCCGAGTCGCTGGCCAGCAGCCCGGCGAAGTCCAAGGTGCGGAAGTCCTGAAAGCGCCGCGTGGCTCGTTCTGAGTTGGAACCCGAGCCTTGGGGTCAAAAGATGTCAAAAGGAAATAACATGGAGACCATCCGTGTTATTTGGTTGGGGGGGGGGCATGATTACATCTTGATTTTGGTTGAGCAAGGGAAGTAGAAAGAGACATGTGGAGCACTGCACGATTGGTTAAAGAAGGGAAGTAGAAAGGGACATGTCGAGCATGCTGGCAAGGGAACTTCAAAGGATCCAGCTTCATGCTTGCTCACTGTTTTGGCAGGCTTCTTGCCATGTAGAAAATAAAACAGCCTGTCCTCAATATGGGCCGTTTTTTGTGCCTTGATGTCATGGCTTGTCTTGTGCAAAGCACCCCTCCCCTCCCCCCCCCCCACAAACAAGATGTGAACCGTTGTTGGTTGGAGGTTGAAGAAAGGGAACCCAAGAGGGCGAAAGGGCAAAGGGAGGGGAAAGCTCCGCGCGTCTCGTGCCGGTTTTGAAGTCTCCTCGCAGTCCTCGGAGGCCAGCGGCTCCGCCTTCTCAGGAGTGGTGCTGACGGAGGACAGCGCCGGGCCAAGCCGGAGCTCGGGCGCCTCCTAGGGGATGGAGAAGAAGCGAAACGCTTCGAATTGAACATGAGGCGACATCTTGAAGGAAGTTAGGTAGCTTGTTGCAAAGGGAAAATGAAAGGGAACATGCCAAGGACGAAAATCCTGGTGGGCTCATACATTCAGCCGATTCAGCCTTTAGCCTTTGACCATCTGGTGTCCTCAAACTGCCAAACAACTTGAAAGGAGTCCCAAAGGTTCAAATCCTCTCCAACCCGACCAAGTAGGGGTTGACCTGATCCTGAAAAAACAAGGGACACAAAGACTTTGAGCTCGCAAACAGTTTTCAGCACCAAATCATGCAACGACCAGTACCTGGTCATTGACTCGCCGAGTCTCAAAGCGCAGAAACACTTAAAATGAGGCCAGGGACTTCAAGGCGGTCGAAACCAAATGTCCGGTGAGTTGGGATGGAGCTCGTCCCTCGCAAGCGCTAGCCGCTAGCACCATCCTTTTCTGAGAACTGTGCCCGGCTCCCCAACTCTCTCTCTCCCGGCACGCCTTCTGGGTATCCATGTCGAACTTCTTGAGTAACGTCACCAGGTAGGCCGGCCAATTCTTCACGTCCTGCCTTTTCCTCACACGCAAGATGCCCGCTTGCCGGGACTCGGCAGGTTACAGGGAGATAACCCCACTCAAGGAAATACGTCAAGGAGGATTGCCTCCCCCTTGAACATGATCATGGAGCCCAAGAGTCAGGTAGCAAGGCTTCCTCCCACAAAAGCATCCGTCATTCCTTCATCCCTTTACCCCTTCATCCAAGTGGCTTGTTCATGGTGCAGGTGTGCACAAAGGAGAGGCCACCATTCAATCGTTGCCGTCCCCCGGAGCCCAGCAGCGCATGCAAGTGCTGCCGGACCCGGGCGTCGAAAAATTGGATCTGCAGGGCCGAGTTCATGTTCAGCACGTTGCGGATCTCTTCGAAGACCTAGGCTGATCCGCTTCGCATGCATCCTCTATCCTCTATAAGAACCAAGGCTTGAACGCCTTAAACCACCAGTCCAAACCATCAACTCAGGGTTTGAGACAAGGGGAGCCATTGCCAAATACCGTGACCAGTGACTTCTTCACGACAACCGCGGATCATGAACTTTGCGTTGACTGTTGCGTACATTGGCCGTCCAGTCCAGCATCTTGGTTGAAACAGTGGCCTACCAAAAAGGGACCCATGTGAAAGCCTGTAAAAGCGGTACGGAAAGGACGTCTGGAACCGACCGACGGCTCTCGTCGGCTTCGACCATTTCGTCGGCTTAGGGGCTTCATCCTTGGCCCGCGGAGCCGGCGGGTTCGGATCTTCGGGCTTCTCGGGCTTCTCGGGCTTCTCCTCCCAAAGCAAACCGGATGCGAAGAGAACCCCCGACCCCAGTCTCCCCAAGTCTGTGCCAAGGTCAAGCCCCTTTGGATTGGAATGTCCAAGGCCTGGTTCAAGATTCTTTGCGCAGGAAACCAAGGAGCAGTATACTCGCAAGACTTTGCCACCTGCCAAGAGGCACCTCAGTGAACATTGACAGGAAATGAACATCCAGCTCGCAAACATCCCTGTCTCTCCTTCTCAATCCTTTCAAAGTCGATTGGCTTCTCGAGGGGAATCACCGAGTTGAGGTAGTCCGGGCTCGCGTTCAAGTCTTTCTCTTTCCCTTTCCCTTTGCCTTTGCCGCGGCCACGGCCTTTCTCTCCCTTGAAGCCCATGGGGAATTCACGCCACGCGTATCCGTAGCCAAAGCCACGTCCAGCCATGGCGGTTTATGACAGCAACCGCTGAAGCGCAAAAGAACAACAAGGCACACGTGCTTGCAAGCAAAAGATCGTCTGCAAGTTCGTACGTTGAACAATGCCTGGACACAAACACGCAAGAAGCCCAAGAAGCCCGTCAAAAAGCTCGGAGCCTTTCCTTGATGTTGGAAAAGGCTGCGGCGGAACTGGCTGCTGCGACCTTGAAAACTGGGTCCTTGTTGGCCTTGGGGTTCCTTTGACTCGATGCTGACAATGAACTCGACAAGCGCGGATTAAACTAGCCTAACTGTGTGGAATTCGATGATTTGTGGACAATCAAACGCCGGAAAGCTTCTTAGGCCAGTCAAACGCCCGGAAGGCTCATAATGGCCCTGAGTCAGTCCAGAAACAAGACCTTAAACAACTGAACAGCTCTGACAACAAGAAACGCCACGAAGAACCAGCAACCAGGGAAAAGAACTTTGTGCAAACCCCAAGCTCTTTGCCTGCACTTCTCTTGGCCACAAAGTGATTCCGCACCACTGACCCTGTGGCTGTCACAAGCCTTGCAAAGCGAACAATCCGGTGCCGAACCACCAGAACCGCATTGAAAAAGGTCGACGAAACCTTCAAAATGGCTGTCTCTTTCGTTTGGGAGTGAGCCATGTGAGGGGGTTGCTCATTATTTGTTTAAAAGAAGAAGCACCAATCCGACACGTGCTATGAAGAAGCCTAACCGCAACCGATAGAGCCCTCTGGATGGCGTACCTGGCTTCTCCAGGAAGGAGGCGCCCAACGCTGGGATGAAGTGACCGCCATAGGACCTTAGGGACTGATCGGGTGAAGGCTTAGGATCCTTGACCCAGTGGCCAGGTCGGTCTGTCGATTGCCGGGTTCTTGGTGACTCGTGTGCTTGAGCCCGCCGCTCGCCAGCCAGCACCAAGCGCCGGTGGGCCACGTGGGGGTGCCGTGCAACGAAGACCTGTCAACCCCGCAAGAAGTCCCCAACAGCACAGGCTAAAAACTGTTCGCCGGAACCTGCCGCCCGGCACAGGACACGAACAATGGAAACACTCACGACATTTCACTGGGAACATGCTGCGTCGAACAAAGCACAGCTCGTGTAAGGCCCTGCTGCTGCGTGCAACCATAAGCGAATAAGCGAGGAAACAAGCCATGTTTGCCAGCTTTGAAGCTAGTGTAAGACTCAATGCCAGTTGCTCGGCGGTGAGGCTCTTGCTGGTTTCAACCAAAAGCCAACCTGCAAGTAAAGCGCGCCCCAACACATATATGTCTCAAACAATGAGGCAAGTACATGTCAGAATCGGCGTGCGTGTCTCTAACTAAGCACAAACCCTTTTCTTTTGGGGTTGTTTACTGTCGTCTCAACCATACATAACCAACAAATAACCTTGTTCACTGCTAGGAACCACGCCGAACAATCGGAGGAGTAGCACCACCTGCGCGGGTCGCCTCCAAAAGCTCCCGCAGACCTGCCGCCACCTCCTCCTGGCGCCGGACACACCCGCAAGCCGACGTGCTTTGGGTGCGACCCCACCCCCCCCAAACTCTGCCGACGAAAAAAAGGCCAACAAAGATCTAACAATAAAAGCATGCCGGCAAATAACATAGTGAACAGTCGTGGCCAATGCCCCTAGGGCAGCACAACGTAGAATCACCTTCGGTTGCATACCCTACGTATCTAAGACAGCCCTCAGAGAATGGCAAAGTCGTTTTTCACTGCTGCGCATTCTGGGACTGGGGGCTAGTGGGAGCTGGGGGTGGGAGCACTGGCCCCAGGCCCCGCCCAGCTAACCTGCTACATTCAGCCGTGGACACATGTGGACACGACCAAACCCAGTCGCCTGGCTCTTGGCGTAGCTGTTCTCCGCGGCCCAGGACCAGCCGGTGCCCACCGGAGAATCCACAAAGATCACCTCAGAGACGCTGAGCCTTAGCCCTTCGGAATCTTGGAGGTTGCAACCCGGGTATAGATTCCGGAATTCACCCCACCGATGGACATGGGAGGTGTATCTGAAACGGCCCCACCCCTTGGTAGATGTGAATCGTAGGCAGTTCCAAAAGTTCAGAGCATCATCCCCCCAAAAAGAAATAAGGCTGCAAAACAACCTACAGCGTAACGGCGTTACTGCGCACAGCACCGCAGTAAGAAAAACTGCCGGAGCCGCCAAGGCTGGACCTCGGGTTCTGGGGCTCCCCGGCCGGGGCAAGGGAGGCCCAGGTCTCATTGGCGGCGCGGGGCTGCAGAGAGCCGTCCGGGCGCAAGGTGAAGGGCCCCAGCTCGAAGAAGTTGCCTCGGCTATCTTGGCAGATTTTGCACTTGGCTTCGCTTGGATTTGGATTTGGTAGTGGTTGATAATTAGTGGTAGTGGTGTGTGGTGGTTGGCATGGTGGACTGGGTCTTCCGAGCAAAGCGGGTCTGTCTCAACATGGCAAACCCCTTCCTGGACAGTGCGCAGAAAGACCGAAAGGAAACTAGCTGCATGCACGGATGGGAGTAGTTACCCTTCGCTTGGAGAATCCTCAGGGAGGGTTCCATGGGCATTTCCTGCAGCTATCCTGTAAAAAAGCGAACCCCTTAAACAAACCAAGCTACCTACCCCCAACGCCCAAACCCCAAGGAGGAATCCACGTGGCAGCGAGTTTAGCACATCACTAAAGGTAAGTTTGCAGCACCAAACACTTGCGGGCATTGGGAGGGAGGAAGAAGACGAAGACATCAGAAGAAGGCGCATCGCTCTCTTCAATGCGGCTTGACACGTTTGGGCCGCGGTCAAGGGAAAACAACGAGGAAACCAAAATCGTATTCATGAGGATTGGCTTCTAGATGGCGCAAAGCTTGCCCACTACTGATCTATATATATATATATGTATATATATATATATATTTGTGTATAATTTAATTTATATATGTATATAAATATATATGTATTTATATTGTAAATTGACTTGGTTCAGGACTCGTGAATTGCGGCCGATGTAGACAATCTAATCACTTAATCAGATGCCTATGTGTTGCTCGACATCTTCCCAACGTGTTCCTCCCATCTCGTGACCCACGGCTGAATCCGCCCAGCTGTCTCATCGTCCCCTCTATCCGCGAGATCGAGGCGCCCAGCATAGAGGTGGCGCCGGGACCCCCCTGCAGCCACAGAATCAGCGGCGCGTCAGTCGCGGCCGCAGCTGGCTCGAAGTACCAGTAGAAAAGGCCGCCTGCAGCTGACAAAATTCACCATGGCCCCTGGCGAAAAGTGCAAATTACTGGGTCCTCCAAAAATGGTTTCGGCACAACTATCAAGGGTTCTGTTAGTTTTCAACAAAACGGGAAAATCGACCAGAAAGGTATGCCCGGTGCCAGGGGCAAAGCCGCTGAAGAACTGAGCTGTTTTGAGAGCCCCCGCCCATGTCTCATTCTCGCTCTCGCTCTCTCTCTCTCTCTCTCCCTTTCTCTGTTGCGAGCTTCTGGTTTTAGCCGGTTGCAAAGCACTCCAGCAGGGGCACCTAATTTCAATAAAGCCAGCGCTTCGCTGCAAACTTCCACGGAAAATTTTGCGCCGGACACCCCCGTTTGCCAAGTTTTGCTCGGACATGCCATTCCCAGCATGCAAAAGGGGCGCTTGAGCTTTGAGCAATTGGACAGATCCTTATGCGCAAACAGATCTGGGGTGGGATGACTGGCTGGGCTCTTCTATGATGATACTGTAGGGCAGGCATGCTGGTGACATATGAGCAGAAATGATGTGGAACGCAGAAGAACAATCGGGGTGCCTCTGAACAACTCTTCACATAGCAGACATCACCGGATGAAAAGAAGGATCTCCGAGCGGTCTCCTTGGGCTTCTCACCGTTCCGACCCCCTAACTAAATGAGTTAGACTCCAAAGATGAACAGAACCAAAGCAGAAAACATTCGCTGACTCCAAAACAGCAACGAGAAAGACACGACCCAAGCGACCCAAGCGGGCCCTGGAACTCGCGCCTTGCCGCACCCCCGCGAAGCCCGAGAAGCTCCTGTAGCCGCTCTTGCAAAGCTCCAGGTCACCTGAGTCACACCCGAAAGAAACCGGCACTGCCCAAACGGGTCTCCAACAATAGAGGGACTCCCCAAGCATTTCAACCTCATCCAGTGTGTACGTCATTATAGAGGGACTCCCCAAATGGTGGTGTTCCCCAAATGGTGGTGTTCCTCTTGGTCCCCCTTGAAACCAAGGTGAAAACAGCACCCTCAAAGAAACGCAGACCCACGTGAAGATTCAAATTGCGGCCCTTTTCGAATGGGCAAGCAGTCCTCTGGGAGAACGGGCCTGTGAACACACCGCGTTACAGGGCTGTTTTGGAACCGTCGTCCTTTCCAGTGTGTGGGAAAATATGGGTTTCAATTTTCCCCCCGTAGCATCACCCACAAATTGCTTTAAACCATTGCTTGCAGTCACAAGGCCAGCCTCGAGAAATGAGTTGCCGCAGGTTCTTCGGGCACTAGGCTGCCGACTCTGGCCATTAGCGGCGCTGAGAAGCAGCGAGAGCCTCAGTACAAATCAGGCTTGTGGGAGGTGGATAAATCCTTTTTCTGTGGATCCCCGAAAACAGCTCTCAACAAGGGCTGGAAAGCATACAAAACTGGGTCAGCCGGCCTTTGGGCAGTGCCAACTGGGCCGCAGCTACCCATGCCTAACAAGACTTGCAATTGCAGGAACTTAGTCCAAACAAGTCGGTGTCTTTACTCCGGGGGGATTCGTCAAGGGTCATTTCACCCATCCTCGGACGCACAGAGCAGAGCCCAAAAAAAGCGGACAAGGTGCCATTGGGCTATTCGAAGTGCCATGGCTGCAGTGCCCCTTCTGAAGCACTGGAGGATTGTGGGAGGGCTTTCTTCAATCTAGGCATGAAGAAACTGACCGGAGTTGCCTCTGAACATGATCGGAGTATGCTCTTGAGCCACTCCGCATATGCGAGGAACGGCCGTTGCGGGGACTGGTAGACAGCAGAAACGCTGCCGAATCCAGGATGCCCCTGGGTTTGCACCATCCGTCCGTGCAACTATTGGTCTCGTGCAGATCATGGAAGAATGGAATATGGAACCCCTAGCTGTACCCTGATGAACCCTGAGCCGTACCAAAGAGGCGGCCCTCAACTCTCTCGCACTCCGACAATCAGCGCTCGAGCCGTTTTTGTCGGGGCGTTGTGCCGGTCCCGGGCTCGCTTCACCGCAGGCGCTTCCAGAATTGGCCCTCCGGGAAGCGGAGGCCGGAGATCTCGCCGGGCTCCCAGGTGACCACCACGTCTGGGGGCCCTCCTGGAAAGCGGAAACTCGTAAGAGGGGCCCACGGCCCAGCAAGGATCTCCAAAAAGGGGTATAAGGACGCTACCTTCAAAAGGTGGTTGAATACCGACTCAAACAACTTATATTGAGAAGCTCCCAAGAAAAGCAGAGCCTTCTTTGGCGAACAGAGTGCAGCCCTCGCTCCTTTGGAAGAGAAGTCGATCTGCAGCCTCGGCTTTGGCAACTCTGGGTCCAGGATGGGACAAGCCAAGGCTTTGGCCCTTTTTGGTTGCCTAGAGAGGTAGCAACTGCAAAGTACTGAACCAGTTGGCCTTCAAATTCCCATCCCAAATCGGAAAAGGGTGGCCTTCCCCTCCATACATCGTGTTCTTTGCACCCACAAAAGGGAGAATCTACAGTTGCAAGGAATCACTTTATTGGCCAGCCAGTGAACAGGCTGCCCCTTCCGGAAAAGAATGTCCTTGACCCACCCATTAATTATCTTGGAGCCGTTGGTTCAGGTAGCCATTGGCAAAGGGAGCTTAAGTCAACGATTCAACGACGCCCCTTGTGACCAACCGACGGGGTGGAGATGGTTGTGAACCCTTAAGCTGGCCGAGCGACCCTAGGGATGCAACAACTACTTGGGGCACAGGATGCGGCAAGTCGCGAGTAGCTGCCTCTGTGAGCCAGTAGTCGATATGACACCCTGTGAATCGCTGATCCTTCTTACGACCGCCTTTGCACATGCATCTTTCGAAATGTTTGCACCACTTTCAATCACCGATTTCACTGCCAGCATTTGGTGATCTGAGGGCCCCAGGCTCCAGAATGATGCTTGAATCTCCCCTGAAAGCCTCTAGCCAGGCCCAGTTGCGCGCGTTTGTCTTTTGATCGCCTTCAAAAAAAAGGCTGCACATGTTCAGTCTCTTACCCACTTTCTTCCTCAACCATCCCAAAAGTGTTCCGAGTTGTAAGTTGAACTTGATGCTGGGAATGGCAAACAAAAGGTCCCAGGTTTGCCAAGTCAACAAAGGAAATTGATAGTATCCTTTAAATCTTTTACGCGCCTTTCGATTCGAGCCATGGCACTGGTCTCCGCGCAGGGTGTCTGGCGAGCCTCAGGCGGATCATTAAACAACGAAATAACAAGCCACACACACACACACACACGGGGTGTGGCTCTTTGGAGGTAAAGACCCTATTGGGCAGTTCATGGGAAACCGAAAGGGGAACCAACCCTTGGGTGCCCCGAAACCCTCATTGCCATGAAACCTAGAGGGATGCCGGGGACGTGCTTGCCATTTACTGAAATAAAGGAACCAGAAGCTGGTGGGTTTCAGGGCAACGTGGGTAGGTGGGGGAACAAAGATGGGCATTTGTCAAAAACAGGCTCTTCTGGTGCACATGATGGCCAGCCTTTCTTGATGGCCCAACAGGGGGTCCAAAGGATGACATGCAAGATAATGCAAGATACGCAATGAATCTAGGCTTCGTCCTCTGTTGCTTTAGTCCCTAGATCGCAGGCAACAATATTGCAAAGCCATTGCCGGGCTTTTCCGCCTTTGTGCAGGGCCTCGGTTCACATAAGAAGTGCTCAGTTGACCAAATAGCTTGAGGTTCTTCAGACGCACATCCTCAAACTAAAACAGCACCAAACAACAGCACTGGCGTTGATATCTAACATGAAGCCCCGAACCTAAGTATCATTTCCCCGCCATTTCCCCTCAAAACGCCCACCGACGGGCCCCCTCCCCGCATTGTCGTTTGCGTCTTGCGTCGAGCTGCCCCGGCCGCGGCGGCCTTTGGCTTCCCAGGTCTTCCCGCAGTCTTCGCCATCCGCACCCCTGGGCCGCTCAGCCGACCGGGGCGCTTGGCCGCGCCTTTTGATGAAACAACTCCGATGGGAGGCCCGGAATCCATGCGGAGAGCGGCAACTTCAGACTTCGATTTGTTCCCTCCATCTGACCCCTTGGGCGACACATGATGCAATATATTCAGAATACAGCGATGTCCACATGTCTCAGCGAGACATCGGAAAAGACTTGAGAAGATTGCACGGGACCTTGGTATGGGCTGCTCGCATTTGGTGGATCTTGTCCAAACTGTACACATCAACGATTTACCGGGTAAAGGTTGCACACAGAGGGGAAATCAGAGGTCCATACCGACGGCACGTGCACCCTCGTCTAGAAATGGTCGACAGCGCGCCTGACAATCACTCCTGCGCCGCTAGGGGCGATCTCGCGAAGGCAGCCTGAGCTCGATTCCAAAGCCATACGCTATCAAGCGTAGAGGTAAAGACCAACCAGAAAGAGTTTATGGCCCCCTACTGCCCTGGCAACGGCACTTCTCCTGTGCCACGCTGTAAAGACCCTTGCAAGAATACAAGTCTTCTTCCCCAAGGAGCAGCAGGCTTCGTTTTCCAGGCCCGCCCGACCGCCATCACACATCCAAACCAACTTGCACAGGGCATGTTCTCAGTCCATCGCGGGCACCATTTCTTCATGAAAGTGCAGTCCTGTATGAAGTCTGACCTCCCTGTAGCCTTGCACCCAACTCCAATAGCCAAACCAAGGTGCTATCCGCACCCATATATATGAAAACATATAGTGCTAACATCGTTGTTCCGCAACGACTTTGCTCCCACTATGTGACACAATTGTGTAAACATGCGATTTGCATTGCCGCTTGGTGGCAAGCCCGGAGCTACAAAGGCTGCGAATGCGACGATCAATGTCCATGGGCAGCCATGTGGCTGTGAAAAAACCTCCCGAACAAACATGCCGTGCCAGATTCATAGAACACACTTTGAAACTTGAAATGAATTGTACAGAAGCCCGACTCAAACATAGGGTACCGCGGAACCCCAAGCTTTGACAATGGTTGGTGAACAAACGATAAATGTAGGTGGATCGACCATTTAGAGGCGAGCCATACGCAAATCTTTAAGTCTTCAAAGCTTTTCTTGCACGATGTCAAGGCCGAGAGGCCAGAACTCGGATCCTCGTACTTGCCTGCAAAGCGAGGGGAGCCCGGCAAGGCTTGCCTAGGCGAACGCCGGTCGAAAGCTTCATGTCCTGCCCCACAGAACTGTCATCCAAAAAATGCTGCCTCAGCGATATGGTCGTCGTTCCTTGAAAAATGGGGGGGGGGCCCACGTCCAATCGAGGGGGAAGTTGGGAAGGTCCTGCAATGCATCACTGGACGGGCGCATCCTTGGGTTTTATGATGGCGGTTGGATGCGGACCCCTCCCAGAACAATCTCCTAAAGATGGAACTAGCACCTGATGGATCCGGCGTTGGGCGAAACTGTTTGTCTTCAGGCTTGTGGGACTCGAGTTTTTGCGAGGCCAATGGACGGCCTTCCCAAGTAATTAATTCTTCACTTGACTTGGAGGGGGAGGTTCATGGAGGTTTCACAGCGTCGTTCCCACAGCCCTTCTCTGACTTGCAAAATTGACTAAATGTCTGAAACAAAACAAGACCAAGAACGCATACACTGCGTAGACCCCACCGCATGCTCCCAATCCGCAAAGAAAAGGCATTCCGCATGAAAACACTAAACTACCTCGTTCCCGCATAGGCTGTGTCCTCCTTGAGAAAAACAACAAATTGCCTGCTCAGTACTCAGCACCAATTCAATCAAGCGGGCCTTTCATGTCCACACAAAGCATGCTTGCGAACAGAAACAGACTTCCGTCATACTAAAGTGGATTTTTCACCACGTCAAACACTTCGCCATATTAAAATGTTTCACAGAAAATGGCAACCAACAACCAAATTTGACCCACCGCACAGCGCATAGCGCACAACGCTGCGGCTGCGAAGGCACCGATTTGGCCGTTTCAACCGCCGCGCGGCGCCGGCAGCGCGGCATTGGATGCCATCACGCCCAGCAGGGCGCGACGAGTGAGGCCTGAAAAAGCCAAGAGGGCAACTGCTTCCGTTTGGGTCCCGACCTTGTGGTTTCCTTCTGTGTTTGTGATCTTTAGGGAACCCACACAAAAAGTTTGTTTCCTACCATGAGCACCAGTTGACATTCCTACCATCCTGGTTAAAGGTGTTTATAGATCATCACTATCATCCAAGCCAGGGACTATATGGAACAGTCAGATTTTGCCCAGGCCCCGCTTGCTAGGAACCAGAAACACGGGCGATAAGGGAGATTCCTTCCACAGGCGTAGGCTCGTGCGGCAAGTTGGACACATCTTTCGGATTGCCTTTGAGAAGCTCAAGGAAGAAGACTGCACCCATCTTGTTGTACATTCTTCCCTTTGACCCGGAGATGTTTGAACAGGGAGCGCTGGCTTGGCCACCTCTGCCCCAAGGCCCTTGAATGCGGTGCAACTGCCTCATGGCTGGCTTGGCCAACGCTGGCCTTTGCATTGGCCACGTGGGCTATGCTCGCCTCAATTCATAGCTGGACCACTTGCAACACGTAGTTGAGCTCTCAGGGGGCCTTAGCATCCTGCGAGTGTGGGGGAGGCTATAAAAATAGCTTAACTCCTTGACATTGACCTATAGCCTGTGCAAAGAATATTGCCCTTCAGGAATTACAATAACAGGTGCACTGAGCTGAAAACAAGCAATGACCTGGACCTCGCTCACGTTGGCAAGTTTCTTCGCTGGGAACTGTTCATCACCTGGGCACTCGTTTGGTGGTCTAGCTCCATACTTTAAACGCTTTGCGGGAGTGTTGCCGGTTCAATCGTAGATCGATCCAATGAGCCAAACTCAGAATAAAACATTGGCTCGAGGAAATCCCATCAAGGAACACGGAAGGCCTTGTCCCGTGCTTAAGTGCTTAACCGCAATTGCTGCTAGCCAAACGAGCCTGGTACACCCAACCGCTGGCCTCCCAGAAAAGTGAACGCAGCACCCAGGAAGATCACGGGCAGGGCGGCTGCTCTCCGCAGGGCCATGGCCACGAAGGAATTCGCTTGCCGAAGCGAAAACACCTATCCATACACCCCGAAAACCACCCTACGCTTGCTATGCGCGTTGGCAGGTCCATGCCGAGGTTTTGTTGGATCAGGAGTTGAGGCACGCTCCCCGAGCTCGAGCTTTTCTCTGCTTGCCTTGGTGGTGTGCAAGGGGCATGCAAGGACTCGACACAACTCAGTTGACCAAGTTCCACTGGAGCTCGGGACCTTGGCCAAGCATTGAAAACGAAGCTGATCACTGCAAAGGAGAAAACCATCCAGTATGTATTTGAAGCATTTCAGGATGTGATCAGGGGTTGTGTGCGAGCAAATGCCTGCTTTGCTGATTCCACCGACACGCCCAGCTGCAGCGGCTGCAGCAGGAGCTGTCCGAGGTAGGCATGTATGCCTTTTTAAGTCAAACACGCGCCTTCTGCAGCTCGACGCCAATCCATGCGCTCTTTGCAAATGGAGTGCCTCCCCAGCAGCAATTTTGATAAGTGGGGCATGCCCCCCCCTATACAACACTCATTCCAATACAGGTCGTGCCAAACCCAGACACATCTTTTCTTCGCCGAATGCCTCACCATCGCACCCGCAGACCAGCCGACTGCATGGGCTCAGTCCTTCTTCTTTGTCGACGCCTTCTTTGCGTCCTGGCAGTCAGATCTTGTAAGAAGCCCAGTGCTTCAGCGCTGGTAGGAGGTGAGATGCGTTGTAAGCGACCCACTCGACTTCACAGTTTTTCCTACAACAGGAGTGAACACTGAGGTGAGATGTTAGCATCTCGTGACTACTTTAGACACCTCAAGATCCTGAGCCGTTTACATTTTAAACTTCAAGAAGCCCCTGCGAAAATTACAAGGGCGGGTTTCTAGAAGCCTTTATCCAAACCGTGATTTCAAAGTAACCAGCATCAATCCCTGTTCAAGATCCCTTTACGCTGGGTACATCTGGACGAAACCATCCATGCTCGGCCCTCGTGGCGGCTCAGGAGCATGAGGTGCAGCAAACGCTCGGCTTGCAAGTTACGGCAAGTTACGGCATGCTACGGCCTGGGCTTGACTTCGTAAATGGGCACATGCTTCGGATGCATGACTCTTCTTGGCAGGTAGCGACTCGACCGGTGACAAAGAAAACTACTCCCAAATGAAAAAAGGATTGAAACAAAATTAGGACTCCGCGATAGTATGAGAAAGGCGGCCTAGCTAACCTGGTCCAAACCGCATGACATCGCACGTTCATTTCCCACCAGTATGCCAAGCTTGTATTTCTAAAACGCTCCAACAAATCTGCCCGCAGGAGAATCAGGCTATGTCAGGTGCCCCTGACGCATACTACAAATTGAAAGCCCAAGAACTTTTGGGAAAGTGCCCAGTTGGCTTCTACATGCTGAATCCATTCCAGTCGAAAGTGCAAGCTGCTGGCTCCTGGCTTTGCCCAAGAAAAGGGCCCACAAACTGGCAACAACTCTTGATTGAAACCTCACACTTCATAAGAACTTGGCCTGTACGCACATCATAATAGGCTAAGCTTGCAGACATTGCACAAGCCAAAGTGAGGACAAAGTAAAAACGACAACAACCACTCACCCGGCGCTCATGCTTGCGTTCTGCCGGCCCGGTGCTTCCTCGCTGCTTGTAGCTGCCTTCTGCAGGGTGTCCAGCCACAGCGGTGCCGGCTTCCCCAAAAAAGCGTGAGCCATCGGAAGGAAGGTCTCAGTGGAGCCCGGAAGCCGGATGATATGGCTCTCTCTCCCACCAACTAATGAACATGAAGATGCACAGAACCCCTTTTCTTAAAGGAAAGTAGACTTCCAACAGAGGGTTGTGCAGTTGTGCCCTTCCATTGTTGTTGGTGGGAGGGTAAGAGGGAAACCTACTCGAAAAAGGTGATGTCCCTGCTGCTTACAAAATGCACACTAAGCAAGCACGTGAGCCTTGAAAGAGATACACGTGTTTTGGGTGTATCACAAAACTAGGGACCACCGAAGGCTTGCAAAGGAAAGGACATCTGGAGGCGAAACCCAAAGGGAAATGCGCTGAGCATCAGGGAGCATCCTGTTGACTTTGTGCAATCATTTTACCAGAAGGATGTAGAAGGCGAACATCTTGCCGACCTGATAGTAAAGAAAACTTAACCGGACTCATGACATCGCGGGACCATTTCTCTTCAAGCCAAGAGGGACGGTGGGAAAAACACCTGAGGCTTGAAGGGTTAAACCTTGTGTGGAAGGCCTGGTTCTGGTGGCATCGTGACCAAAACAGGTTGTTGTAAAGGCGTGCAATTCACCCATGAGTCTGCAGACTATGGCTTTGGCATTGCACAGGCTTCCTGATTCACGGGCTAAAGCTAGGAATTTGCGGGAAGATCTACCGGAAACACCACAGCCAGCTTGCATTTGCTCAAACTGTTGGCCCAACATATAGTAATACTTGCCGGTCATAATAACTCCTTTTAGCATCAATGTGGGCAAGTTGGAACCTGAATCAGATTGTGGCATGTTGTGGAAATGATGAAGGTGCAAGCTAAATTCTCCAGCAAGCCTGCCTTTAACAGGAATCTAGCACAATCGCAGGTGGTTCTCGAAGAACCTGCCAAATTGGAAGGTCCAAAACAGGATATTTCCAAGCCACGGCCCTTGGCTTGTCCGTGATTCCTTGTCATAGGGATCCCAGTCTCTGGAATCCATGACCTGAAGGAGGGAACAGGAATTCGGCCAACCCATTTCCCGGACCATGGGCGGCTTTTTTCCTATCGCTGGCGAGCTGCGCACAGGAGCTCCGTGAGGGTCCAGGCGACTCCAAGGAAGGTGCAGCCCTGCAGCAGGAAGAAGAGGAAGCTCGGGAAGTCCCACTTGCCTTCCGCTGAAACTAGGTTGCTGTTGACGCCCCGCACAAGGTTTCACTTTTTGGGGGTGGAGTAGAAAACACCTTTATTTCCCAAAAAGTTAAAGGCTAAAGATCCAATCCAATAGCAGTCAAGGATAATACTCTTTCACCACTGGGCGCCTACGGGGCCTGGGAAAGCTCAAAGTCCACGAAGGATGGTAGGCTGTTTGTCACTCAGAGCATTCTCAAAGTCCCCGCTGCTTTTTGACGTCCCTGACAGCCGCCAAATATGGTTCAGGCCCCCCAGAAAGATGAAATTTGAGACCCAAGTACTGAAACCTTAAAGGCTTACCAGGATTGCAGGATGGGGCCTCGACCCCAGACTCGATCCAAACTCCATTTGGGATTGAAGCTGAGGGAAAACCCCAAAAACGAAGTAGGCGGAGGAAGCTGCTGGTCTGATTCTTGCGGGGGAAGGAGAAGCTATCGAGAATGAACTAGCGGTATTCAGATTCGCAACTATTTGTCAAGGGATCCCAAACCGGGGGGGGGGGGGCGCGGGGCGCGGGGCTTGTCCAAAAAACGTTGGCTTTTAAGCTCCTGCAAAACAATAAATGTTTCAAATGTTGCATTTAAATAACGCGCCCGGCTCAAGCCTTTCCATGTCGCATTGACATTGCGTGCGCCACTACGCTCGCACCACTCTCGCAAGCGCAAACCCCTCTGCCGAGCCTATCACTCCCTGCTGGTGGAATAGCATTCGCACACCATAGCTGCGGCGAGTCACCGAGGGAAAGTCTTTGTCCCTGTACTCCTGGCCAAAGGCTAATTCAGGCAGCGTCTACTGGTTCCAAATATTGTAGTATATGGCCTTAAATAACAAGATGGTTTTGGGGAATGCCACCAAAGTGAGAAGCTCCGAGAACTTCCTAGTGGGTGTAAAGGCTTACGTGGGGAACACAAAGTAAAAATGCTGGATTCGCTGGTTCTCAGGATTGAATTTCCTCGGTACGTTCGCCGTTTCGCCGTTGCTTCCTATGAAGTGGCAGGTTAATTTGAGTGCCCGGCTTCTCAACTGACAGTTTGAAACTCTGGCTGAAAGGGGGGATAAGCCGAATCAAACACGTAAAACCGAGTCCTGCCCCCTACTGCACATCACACTGACGTGCTCAGCTCGTGTGAGGAGTTGGAGGGCCAACTGCGCTTTGCAATGCCCAGTGCTTGGAAGGAATCCTGTAAACGGTTGCCACGCCCCGGTGCGACCAGCCGAAAAATAGCAACAATTGCCTCAAGGTAGTCTAAGTTGGTGCCTTTTCGTGGTGTGCATCTGCCCGTTGTTGCCTTTCTTTTTTGCGATCGCCGTCTCTTCTCTTTCACAAGTTCACGATATCAACGCCGCAAACATGCCCAACCAAGTCCAAACAAAATTGATTCTAAATGAAAGGGGGGAGGCCTAGTCCAATCGGGCTCCAAGTTTACAGGCCAAGTACCTCGGTGCAAACATGCATTCATATTTGCACAAATAGCTTGACACGGGCAGGCATTCACAAGCGCACAAGCACACACACACACACAGTCACACAGTTGCCCTTCTTCCAACCCCTTTCCAGCCAAAACGCCTCCTAAAGCCCACCTCTCCGTCTCCACGCGCCTCTGGGGGGAAGAAGGACGCAGAGGGCGCCACCGAGCGAATGGTGCGGACGCCCTCGATGGGCTGCCGCGCTGAGACCTTGAGCTCAAAGGACACCTCCTGAGCCGTGCGTCTGAAGGGAAATTCCAAGGAAGGGAAGGGGAGGCAGTCATGGAGGAGAGGATCGGCTTCGTTTGCTTCAGAAATTGGTACAGTCTTGGGAGAGCTTGTTGAACAGTCGACTTCTCATAAAACCCTCGGGATGACAACCGCTCCCTTGAGAGGTGTCAGGTTGGTCGGAAGGGCAAACTCAAGCGAGAGAGTCGTCTTGTGCAACGTCCTATCATGAGATCTCCAAACGAAGGCAGCATAGCATAGCACGAGGCACCAGCAACCCAAAGCTTGCAAGCACAGAGTGAAATGACTCGCGTCGCAACACAAAAGGAACGCCCCAACCCACTCATGGTTGGTTCTAGCAAGGTAGAACCGGATATGTATTTATATATATATATATATGAGTATTACAACCCTAGGAAGCCAGGTGGCAAAAGCGGCTGGACCCACTACAATGGCCAATGAGAGCCTGGGCGCTGCTCACATGCCTAATCCAGAATCTGGCGGCAACAAACAGCAAGCTCCGCAGCACTCTAGAAACTGCGGCGGGTCTGGAGCTGCTTGCCACTTCTTGGAACCCATGCCGACAAATCACCAGGCACCTCTGCAAAAGCAACGGGAACCCGAAATGAGCTTCAAGGGGTATTTTACAGAAAAGAGTGCAATTCTGATCTCCGCCCCAGTCCGCAGTCTGCTGGAAGTAAAGAGCTTTCAACTGAGGGCGGGCGTTCGCGTTTTCGAAGCCCGCGGCTGCCGTCCTTGTTCGGTCCAAACCAGGTGGAGATATCAGACCTCACGCAGCCAGAATACTGGAAAGGTTGCGGCACAGAACCTTT